CTATTCTATTTATACCCAGAGCCTTGCCGACCATTGTCCCCTAAATCTGCCCCAGGTCATCACGTAATTAATGCGATGTACTATTTCTCACCATGTGCCTCGACCACCTGACACCCATTTCAGAGGTCTGAGGCGCATGACCTCACAAGTTACGCCCTCCGTACGGTTTCGGCCGTTATGCTCAATTCGGGCCTAATTGCAAACATTTTATCCCTGTTTCCCTTGGGAGTTTGTAGCATTTGGACTCCCAAAAGGGTGGTTTTATGCTAGGTTTTGTGCGTTTTAGTGTGTTTCAGGATCCAACAGGTGAAACCAGCCCCTGATTCAAAAGTTGGACAAAAAGAGGCAAAGACACGACAAAGAGGGTGATCCAGGGGCATTTCACGGTCTATCATGGGAGTTCACGGTCCACTATGGCGGCAAACTGAAGCCCAAAACCATGAACCGCGATGCGTCCAGGGAGAATTCTGCAGTTACTACCACGGCACGAGTTCATGATCAACAAGATCGTGAAGATTGAGGCCAAACCGTGAACTCCTAATGGCGAAGCGGTGCGTTTCGACATCGCGCTCTGTGTTCACGGACGCGTTGAAGAGTTCACGGCCGTGAACTGAGCCTGATCATGGTATATAATGTGAGTTGAAAGGAAGAGAGAAGGGGAGAGCTCAAAGGGTGAGAAAGTGTCTTCTTCAGATTTTAGAGAGAGAAAGGATGAACCAAGGAAGAAAGAAGGCTAGGGTTTGCTCTAAGTAATGTATTGTGAAGATTCTCCCCAAGAGACGATCAACACAAGCTCAAAGGATATTGGAGTTATCACCATGATGGTTTTTACCTCTTCTTCTTGTGTTCTTCCCCTTCCTAGCATGGAGTAGTACTCTTTTTCACTTGGGTGTTGTGAACCCCCAACTATTTCCCATGTAGCTATAGGGTGAATTGAATGATTGTTTATGGGTGTTGTTTAATTCAATGATTGAGGTATTTTTTATGTTGATTGTGCATGTTTGTGCTTAGAAATCCAATTGGCCATTCTAACCTAGATGAGAAGAAAAATCCCCTTTCTAGGGAGGCTCAATTGAGTTGGGATTCCTTGGGCTTTTTAAGCCACCTATCTAGGTTAATGTAGGGCAAACCTCTATGTTGAATTAAGCAATTTGATTAAGCGCGATTAAGCCAACCAACCATCGGGTTGAGTGAGAGAGTAAGTCAACCATCGATTGCCTTAACCAAGAGGGCTACTTGACTAGCCTATAATGTATCCCTTGGTTTGGCAAACGAGAGTGTGGTCTACGACCATAGTTCCGTTTCCTAGCGGTTCGCGGTCACCTTGCCCGTAAAATTAATTTGATTCCTCGTGCCATAGTAGTAGTTAGGGGGAAGCGACACCCGAGTGATCCTTCTCACATAGAGCTTTCAAAACCGTTTACTTTTGCCTTGCTTAACTATAATTAGAAATATTTTCAACCAAATCCGATTCGCTAGATGTTTCAAACAATTGAAGTAGGGGTACATGGACCGGCCCGATTCGATATTTAAATATACTTGCCCTGTATTGCACCCTACTAAGGTTTATACTTGGACCTTAGGCGGGAATTAATTGTGATATTTGAGACGAGTCATGCTCTTTTGTCTTTATGCGTCCTGTGTCAGAAGTTAGGTCCCGCCCTATCAGATGATCAACCATCCATGTGGGCCTGACTTTGTCACTACTGGGCCTCAGTTTCCTCAAGGCCCTTCTCTTTCGGGCCTATCGCCATTCCCCCAACCCTTTTCTTTTCTACGCTATGTCCCTGCTTTCCTTTTCCAAGATGTGTTCCTACTTTCATTTGATCACTTGATGTTGGTACCCATATTTAACTTTAAATTTGGTCTAATTATACTTTTAGGGGCTAAGAGAAGAAGGATGTTTGTTGGTTAGAACATGGTGTGGTATGCAAAGATAAGCGTTAGTACATTTTTTTCTTAGAGAGATAATAGAACAAATTATGGATTGGAAACTTGTTATCTATTTTTGTTTTAGTTTTATTTTTTTTAGTTTTACTAGAGAATGTATAGCCTTCAAAAGATGAAAGTTGATCCATAAAAAAAAAAAGATGAAAGTTTATTTTTTTAGTGTTGGATCGGGATGACATTGTAGTAATTTTGTTTTCATTTCAAGGATTTGATTTTATGAAATTTCGCTATAATGAATTAAAATTTTTTACGTCATACCTAAACGCTTCATCATATCAATCATAATTCAGGAGGCAAGTTGTGCCACAAAACTTATGTAGATGCCATTTTAGCATTCCTGCTTATACCATTTAAGGGACAACAGGTAGTCTCAAAAATATGCATTGGTGACAATTAGTCGTCTTGAAAGATAAAGGTTAAAAACAATTAATTGTCCCTATAAGCTAGATAGGTGAAAAATTGGCGCCCATTCAGAGATGATTGGTCGTCCCTGAGTGTTAAATAGGTGACGAATAGGCGTCCCCAAAAATACTTGTTAAGGAACAATTGATCGTCCCCACAAGTGATACAGGTGACAATTAGTCGTTTACAAAGACATGCAAAGGGACAACAAGTCTTTCATATTATTACACATGGGACAATTAGTCGTTCCCAAAAGGTGCATGAGTGACAACTCTTCATCTATCAATACACGAGCTAAGGGACCATTGTTTGTCCCCAAAAGTTATAGGTGACAACTTGTCGTCTCCAAAGATATAGTATAAGAGACCGCTCGTAGTCCTTTAATAAATCTTTTGGGGACTATTTTTGGACTCCAATTTTATACCTATAGGAACAACATGTTGATCTTATAAAAAGAAAATGGGATAATATATTATTCCCATATAGGCCTGACACAATCATGAAATCCGTTATGTTGGACAACATTTTGGCCCTAAAATTCATATGTAGGGGATGACTTATTGTCGTTACAGTTATAGCTATAGGGACGATAAGTTGCTTTTTTTGAAAACAAATGAGATGACAACTTCCGAGTATCGGGGACGACTATTGTCTCTAGTAATGGGAACAATCTAGAATTTTTTCATCCTCAAAAACTATATGGACAATTTTCCTATTTTTGGGGATGACTTTTGTTGTCCCTAAACCTCCTATTTTTTTGTAGTGTTGCCTCGTCCAGTGCTGACGAGAATGAAGAGGGGACAGGGGATGATGGTGACACGAGGGCTGGTCGTGCAAGGGAAGGATGGTGGCCACTGCTGCGTTCCATCGTCAGCTGTTGCGTGCACCGCGCGGAGGAATTGATGCGAGAGCTTGGGAATGAATAATTATGTTGCTATGTTGCTACTCTCGTTGAATAAAAAGAAGGAATGGTAAGTGATACGTTGGGGGAAGTATGGGGTTTATGTTGGGGTGGGTTAATTGTATGGTCGTTCAAGAAAGAGAGAGAATGAATGGGGACGCTATTTAAATAATTGTGAGATATTTCAACTTTCAAGCAGTTTAAATAATAGCAGGAGTAACCAAAGGTAAGATAGCCTAACGGTAAAGCTATCGCGACAATGAAGACTTGGGAATTGCAGATCCCAGGTTCTAATTCAAGCAAGGCCTGTTGGTGTTCCCGAGGGTACAAGGCTGCTGGGGCGAAGAACGGTTGGCATCGAATTTGATTGCAGGTGGCCCCCAGGTTTAGTAGGACCCGCTATCACAAAGTGGCAGGTGGGGGCTGAGGTTCCTGGGTAATAAAAAAAATAGCAGTAGTCTTTTTAGAGTTGAAACAATGGAACACATTTGACCATTTTTAGGGGAGTCTTTGTTGACTGGGCTGTGAATGGGTCGAGCGCGAGACCTGCCTTCTTCGTTTGGGGATGAATCGAAGTCGATTCTGAAAGAAAACCCTAATCGGCTGATAGGCTAAGCAAGTGAGGTTTCAAGTCGATTGATTTTTGGTTGTTCAATGTAACTGAAGATTAGTGATGAAATGAAATATGGGCTGAATTCAGTCTAATTTATGTAACAAATAAGAAAGTGGGCTTGAGCCCAGCAGCTTATCTCAACACTTGAGATTAGCCCACCAAGCTCCAATACAGCCTGTTGTTCTTTTCTTCTTCCTTGATCTGCTGAGCACGTTTTCCTGTTTCACAGCTCCCCTGTACCTGAACGAAAGCCAACCAAAACAGAGAGCACAATAAAGCTTGAAACTGAAACACACGCACTGCACAAAAGGGTTTTTACGTGGTATCCGATATTGGGAGAAGAAGGATCCCAATATCGACTAATCCACGGTAGTAATCTCTCCTCTTGAGGATCCCTACGAATCTATTAGATCGTTTCCTTGATCGTCATTACTACACTGGACTTTGCATTAATCTGCTCCCTGCCTATCAATCTAACTCCAAGGCTGAGCTATAATCACCCTGATTACACACTCAGAACCACCAGCTATTCTCTCTGATTAGCTGACCAAGTTTTTCTATCAAAAGTCACTCACTTCTCACTAAGCACTCTGTTCTTTTGATTCACTGAAAAACTCTACCCACTAAACTGCTCAAGCTCGTTGTTATATGGTCTTCATTCTTTAAGGTAGCCGTTGTATGATTGAGATTTGAATTCCTGCAAATTAGCTCCAGGTTTCCTTCTTTGCTACTTTCCTTATTGGTCTTGATTGCCTTGTTGATTCTTTCCCCATTGACGAGCTTCGCTTAACATGCTCCCCCTAAGCTTGTCAATGGCTCTTCCTAATGCACTAGTTTCTTTCCTGCATACACTCAACAAACTATTGGTGCAGTCTGTTCTATGCAATGCACTATCAGCAGTGACAAGGGAGGTTTTTATTTCTGACTAATAAGTTCAACCAAAATGCATGCTCCGAAATTCAAATCAACAATCAGGCAACAAGAAAACACACTTGACACTGACATCATTCAAACCCAGACTTAACAAACTACAAAACAAACTTGACACTGACATCATTCAAACCCAGACTTGACAAACTACAAGACTTCCCTAGTCGGACCTTGTGACTCCCCCTAGGTACTACCATCGAGTCACTAGAAGGGATAACTAGGAAGTGACTCATAGTCTGAGATATCATCATCAGAGCTTGATTCAGGAGTGATTGGATCAAAATCGTCTGGTGCAGGCCTTGCTTCACCATCCTCCATAAGTTCCAGACATTCCTTGCATACCAGAAGACTTGTAGTCTTTCCACTACCAGTTTCCTTTCTTCGTTTGACTTCGCCATCTATTGCTGCGACTGCAGCTTGAGTTAAGGTTGTAAGTAGATTATCAGAGATGGGATTAGCAAGAGAGAAAATGGGGCAGTGTCTCCCCCTGAGCCAGAGACAAGCTTACGGCGGCCTACGTCGGCATCGAGGCGGACAAGAACATGGTTGGGACGAAGATCATCATGAACCCGACACACTGCAACCTTATCCCTAAGATCAATCCCTAGACGATGTAAGTAACAAGTAATGAGAGGCCCAAAGGGCAAATCACCACTATAGCCCCCCCCCTACCAAATCGAAGTATGTGAGCATACATCAGAGAGGCAAAACTGATGGGTTGATGAACACGAGCATTTTCCATGATCCAGAGATCTGAGGAGTGAAGGAGACCTGCACTGGAAGCATCACAGGGAAGGAAGTACCGAGTTATGAAGAAGTGCAGAACTTTCAGATCGTCAGGGAGGTGACCAGCTGAGAGTCGAGTTGGGGAAGCCTTCCCAATATCGCAGGTAAGGTGATCAAGGGCTTGGCAGAAATCAAAGCCTTGTTCAGCAAAATCACTGTCGAAGCTTGCTTGAATCCCTCGAGTGAAGAAGAGATAAACTGAAGCAAGCAAGTCGGGAGTGACTGTGATTTCATGATCATAGACCATGGTGGTGAAAGAACGAGGCTCAGCACCATGGTCACGTCGGATATTAACATAGAATAGCCTCACCGCTTTGGGGCAGTGAATAAATCGTTGATCCTCTGTCAACGACTCCCATCCCAGTCCAGCACCAAGAGCGGGAATATTCATGTCATATTTGGAGAAAGCTGAGGGGGAGATGGTAAAGGATGGGTAAATGGGACGATCACAGAAGCAACGAAGGTACCTTGAGTACACTATGGCGTTGCGAAAGCCTTGAATTTTGAATACAACGACAGGGCGGAGCCGAGCATTGTTAAAGACCATGGTGAAAGAGGTTTGTGTGGTATGTTTTGAGAATATAGATTGATGACAGAGGCCCTCTGAATTTATAAAACCTCGGAGAGAATGAGTAAGGTAAGAGAATCACTCTTGACTTAAGTATCCATTGGGTATCCAGTAGATGAATGCTGATTTTCCGGGACAGAGAAGGTAATGGCTTAAGGGAAACACCTTGGAAGAATTTAAGGAAATTAAGAGGACACAGAATCCTAAAGGATTTCCGATATTTCTTCTAGAGTGAACATACCAAGTTCTCGTCTAATAGGTAAGAATTTATCAATAGGTAGGGGTTTGGTGAAAATTTCAACCCATTGAGAATCAGTACCTACAAACTCTAAGTGTATTTTTCCTTCCTGGACCAGATCTCGTATAAAATGATAACGAACTTCTATATGCTTAGTACGGGAGTGTTGGACTGAATTTTTGGTCATGTTAATAGCATTAGTATTATCACACAGGATAGGAAGATAACCCAACTTAAGACCATAGTCTTCAAGCTGGTATTTCATCCACAAGACTTGAGTACAGCAAAAGCCAGCAGCAATATACTCAGCTTCTGTTGTGGATAGAGCCACTGAACTTTGCTTTTTACTGAACCACGACACAAGTGAGGAAAGCACCTGAAGTGCTCTTCCTATCAACTACACACCCAGCATAGTCCGAATCACTGTAACTAATCAAATCTAAACTGAACAAACTGGAGTACAAAAGACCTAGAGTGGGAGTCCCTACTAGATAACAAAAAATTCGTTTAATAGCAGAGAAATGACTCTCCTTTGGATTACCCTAAAATCGTGCACACACACAGACACTTAACGTCGGAGCCGGGCTATGATACCACGTGTAAATTGGTCGAGCTCGAGACCTACCTTCTTCGTTTGTGGATGAATCAAAGTCGATCCTGAAAGAAAACCCAAATCGGCTGATAGGCTAAGCAAGTGAGGTTTCAAGTCGATTGATTTTTGGTTGTTCAATGTAACTGAAGATTAATGATGAAATGAAATATGGGCTGAATTCAGTCTAATTGATTTAACAAATAAGAAAGTGGGCTTGAGCCTAGCAGCTTATCTCAACACTTGAGATCGGCCCACCAAGCTCCAATACAGTCTGCTATTCTCTTCTTCTTCCTTGATCTGCTGAGCACGTTTTCCTGTTTCACAGCTCCCATGTACCTGAATGAAAAGCCAACCAAAACAGAGCACAATAAAGTTTGAAACTGAAACACACGCACTGCACACAGGGTTTTTACGTGGTATCCAATATTGGGAGAAGAAGGATCCCAATTTCGACTAATCCACGGTAGGAATCTCTCCTCTTGAGGATCCCTACGAATCTACTAGATCGTTTCCTTGATCGTGATTACAACACTGGAGTTTGCACTGATCTGCTCCCTGTCTATCAATCTTACTCCAAGGATGAGCTATAATCACCCTGATTACACACTCAGAACCACCAGCTATTCTCTCCGATTAGCTGACCAAGTTTTTCTATCAAAAGTCACTCACTTCTCACTAAGCACTCTGTTCTTTTGATTCACTGAAAAACTCTACCCACTAAACTGCTCAAGCTCGTTGTTATATGTTCTTCATTCTTTAAGGTAGCCGTTGTATGATTGAGATTTGAATTCCTGCAAATTAGCTCCAGGTTTCCTTCTTTGCTACTTTCCTTCTTGGTCTTGATTGCCTTGTTGATTCTTTCCCCATTAACGAGCTTCACTTAACATGGGCCAGGCCCAATGCCGACCCAAATCGCAGGCAAAGCCAGGTGAACACAGAAATGATAGGGTTGTGGTAAAATTGTCAAAACGCACAACATGATTAAGTTGGCGGGTAGAATGTCCATAATACCCTTCCGGGAAACACTCTCAGGCCAGCAAATTCAAAAACGTGAAAATTGGATACATGAATCTCCATTATATATTGTGTAGATTATTATTATTTCTAATCTACAATCCCAATCCTTTGTACGTAACCGTCGATCTAACTGTTTGGTTGAACCTAGACCCAAAAGTCGGGGTGTAACATTTTCTCCACCCTTATAAAAATTTCGTCCCCAAAATTTGCTCGAACTCGTTCTTCTAGTAACATTGTTCTTTAATTCCTTGCCTCAAGAATGTACTCTTGCTATATGAACTTCAATTGTGTCCTTTCTTGTCCCGTATAGCTTACTACACTTCTTGTATTTCCCCTTGACCACACATGTATCCCCACCTATCTTATAATATCGTGTAGCTTTGAGTAACTCATTTTCCTTTTAATTCCGTGACTTGGACTGGGATTTTAAGGGACAAAATTATGATGTGACTCGCCGATTTGGGTCCAATTGTACACATTTTGCCCCTCATTTCTTGATAGTTTGACATTGCATTTCATCGTTCCTCGACATATTCCACGCTAGGTTGTGCTTGTTTTGATATATTTCAGGTCCTAGCACGTGTGGAAGGGTCGAGGACGAGTTACACTGACAATTGCCTCTTGATAGTGAAGCCCAGGAGTCCAGGAACCATGTTGTAGTTCACGGTCAGAGTTGCGAGTTCACGGTCGCCGGGACCGTGAACTGGAATCACAAACCGTGAATAGCAAGGCTTATTGTGAATAGCGAGTTCACGGTCGGAGTTGCGAGTTCATGGTTCTTTTTTTTTTTTTTTTTTTTTTTTGATCGGAACCTGTAGCCAGCTTTTATTGATTTCGGAAATTTACATCATCCAATTTAAGCTGATCAATCAGATTCAGCGGAGGCCTATCAACCCATACATCCGCTATATCCCACCGAGTTCGTGTATGCGCCATAACGTGCGCAGCTTCATTGGCCTTTCGGCTAACAAAATGTAAAGTCCCGCCACCTGTCTCCTCCAATAACTTCCTGATATTCCTGAGAACCACTCCGAGCTCCGTTTGTATTTCAATCGAACGTCTGACACCTGTTACCACATTCAAACAGTCGGATTCCAGCATCGGTCTCGCCATATGGTGTTGTCGCGCGATCTGTAGTCCAAACTCTACTGCGAGAGCCTCCCCCATCGTTGGATCCAGCACTCCTCTGACCTGTTTTGCAGCTGCCATAACAAATTCTCCCAAATGGTTACGGACCACCACACCCAGTCCTCCTCCTTCCGCTCCAATCCCGGCGTCGGTATTGATTTTCATCCTTCCCTCCTCCGGTCTTGTCCAAACTTGGTTGTTGCTGCCCATCGGTGAAACCTCAGTGTGACTTTGATGCATCCTATATTCGTCCAAGAAAGCCTCTGCCCAGGGAACAATCTCCAGCTCATTCATCTTCACACCATTAAAAAGGTGGGCATTCCTCTCTTTCCATAGTATCCATAAGAGAACCACCCAATCTTCTAGTACTTCTTCAGGGACCGCTCTAGCTACCTTCCAAAACCACTCCATGCAGCTTGAATCTCCCCTCAACTCAAAGCAATGGGCAACACGTGAAGCTCTCCATAATCTGCTCGTCCATGTGCACTGATAGAACAAATGCACCTGAGTTTCCACTTGATCACAAAAGGGACACGAATCACCCCGCCTTGGGATGCGCTTACACACCTGCTCGCCGGTTGCTAAAGCACCTCTCATAAACTTCCACATAAAGATCTTTACCTTCGGAGGAAACATTCATCGCCCAGAGGCGATTCCATATGGCCGGCTCCCCCACACTGCGATCTCCCCTCTCAAGTTGGTGCTTCACCAGCCATGTTCTGTATCCGTCCCGGGCAGTATACTTCCCATCTTTACTGTACGCCCAGATCATGCGATCCGGCTCCCCCAAGTCCCGTAAGGGTATCTGGCGGACAGCATTCACCATGTCATCTGGAAAGCAGCTCTCAAGCATGGTATCATCCCAATTCTCCCTCCCTTCCTCAAACAATTCACGTACCACTGCATCCACCGGGAGACCAGTCGGGGGGGATTGGATGATGAAACCCGGCGACGATGGTACCCAGCGGTCGCCCCATATTCTCACCGATGCTCCATTACCAATACACCAGCGCATTCCTCCCACCAACAATTCTTGCGCACTCATGAGGCTTCTCCAAACATAACTCGGTCGCCCTCCCACGCGTGCATCTAGAATCGAGTCGTTTTTATGGTATTTTGCCTTCAGCAGCCTAGCCACTAGAGAGTCCGGTCGGCTGTAGAGATTCCACACTTGGCGCGCAAGGAGAGCCTGGTTGAATCCACGCAAGTCCCGGAACCCCATTCCCCCCTGTGCTTTAGAGCATATCAAGGACTCTCTCGCAATCCAGGGTATTCTCTTCTCCTGGCCTTTCTGACCCCACCAAAATTGGGTGATTAAGCTATGAATCTCATCAATGACTCCATCTGGTATCTTAAAACCGACATGCTATACGTTAACTGAGCCTGGGCCACTAACTTAATCAAAACCTCTCGAGCTGCCGCTGACATCGTCCTCTCCTTCCATCCAGACAGCTTCTTCCTCACCCGATCCTTTAGGTACACAAACAATTCTTTCTTCGACCTGCCAACTTGAGTCACCAAACCCAAGTATTTGTCATGCTTCTCTACCACTTTCATGCCCAAAGTCGAACTAACCATCAGTCGTTGATGCACCTTCACATTGGACCCAAAGGTAACCTCAGACTTTTCAAGGCTAACCAGTTGTCCGGATTCCGCTTGGTAATCATCAAGAATTCGTCTTAGCTCCATGCCTTCATTTACTGTCGCCCTAGCAAAAAAGATAGAATCGTCAGCAAAAAATAGGTGTGATATCACAGGAGCTCCCCTTGCTACCGACAGCCCATGAATGCGCTTCTCCCTGACCGCCAGCGAAACATAGCTAGACAGACCTTCTGCCACCAACATGAAAAGGTACGGGGACAGAGGGTCACCCTGCCGTATACCTCTGCTGGGAACAACAGGTTGTGATCGATGCCCATTAACCAGGATAGAGTATGTTACTGACTTTACACACATCATAATTCGCTGGATCCAGCCCTCCGCAAACCCCAGTCTACTCATCAT